AAAAAATTTTATCAGCTGTTCCTCAGACAAAGGACTACTATCTAGAATATGCAAAGAACTTTAAAAAGTCAGACCTCCCAAATTTAAAGACCCAATCCAAAAATGGGCATCTGAAATGAACAGATATTTCTCAGACAAAGAAGTAGAAATAGCAGATAAACATATGAAAAAATGTTCAGCATCACTGGTCATTTGAGAGATGCAAATGAAAACAACACTGAGATTCCACCTCACCCCAGAAAGAATGGCTGCTATCATGAAATCAACCAATAACAAATGTTGGCAGGCTTGTGGGGAGAAAGGAACCCTTCTCCACTGTTGGTGGGAATGCAGACTGGTGCAACCACTGTGGAAATCAGTATGGAGATACCTCAAAAAACTAGGTTTAGAAGTCCCATTTGACCCAGCTATTCCCCTACTGGGTATCTTCCCCAAAGAATTAAAAGAATCATACCACAGTGATATATCCACACCCATATTTATAGCGGCATGGTTTGTGATAGCTAAAGCTTGGAAACAGCCCAAGTGCCCATTAACTGGAGACTGGATAAAGAAAATGTGGTTTTAATATAAAATGGAGTACCATAAAGAATGAGAAATTAGAGACATTTATAGCTAAATGGACGCACATTGAGGACATACTCTTAAGTGAAATAAATAGGACACACGTGCAAAAAATGAATAGTTTCTCTGGTATGAGAAACTGAAAGTGTAAATAAGGATTAAAATGAATAATTGATAATGTGAAATAGGAAGAAAAGGTCTAAAGGGGTAGGGGAAGTGGGAGGGGTAGGGGAAAGCAAAAAAGGGAAAGGAAAAAATATGAGATAAGAAATAAATGGAAACAAAGCCTCTGCAGATCAGGAAGGGTGGAGGGGTTGAAGGGAGGGCAGGGGAATGGGAAAAAAATAAGAACCAAGACACATCAAGTAGATGTACAAGTTCTCAATGTTTTACGTAAATGTACTGTATACCTAAAATGTGCCAATAAAAGAATTTAAAAGAAAAAAAAGAGTGATCCTGGAAAACATAAATCTGACTTTGTAACCCTCCAGTGGACTCGTATCCTCTTTTTTTTTTTTTCTGTCCCTAGTTTTCTACCTGGAAGAAATTGTCATTCAACATTCATTCTCTCACTCAACTAGCATTTCTTGAGCACCCAGTAGATGAATGTCCTAGTCAGGGTCCTGAGTATCTACCAGGGCTCCAGACCCACACAGCTGAGGGCCTGGCTGTGAAAAAAGACGTGTACTTCCTTGAGGACATGGTCTTTCTGTGCTTTCTCATCCTCCATCAGTCTGCTCTCTTCATGTCCCCATCTTTTTTTAGTTATACTATAAAGACAAGTTATATGTTTTACTTTTTATCTGTTTGACTGACTTTATATTCTCATTTTAAAATTTCGATAGTAAGGGGAGCTTTCTATTTTTATATCAGAAAAATAAAAAACAAAATGATAAAAAGTGTCACTGGCTTCCCAAATAACTTAGAATCCAATCCAAACTTCTTTTTATGTATTTCAAGTCCTCCATGACCTGTTGCCTGCTTCACTCTAACCTAATCTCCCAGTCCTTCCACTCACTCTGGCTGTGCCATCCAGGCCAGCTTTCTAGCTGTTCCTGCTCTGCACTGCCTGCTGACAAAACTCTACCCATAGACCTTGGCATGCACTACAAAGGTTTGTTTGAGAAGAAAGGAAACAGCAGTTCAAAGATGGATCAGATTCATATTCAATATAAAAACAGAGTACCAGAGACTTGTACTGCATGCAGAAGAACAACAGGGAGGTAAGATGATAAAATTAACTAGCCACTGTGTTTCCCCAAAATCAGTCGTAGCAAATTCTCTGGCAACTGAGGGAGTTTAGGGTAGATAGCCCTAGAAGAAGTCACCCAAGGTCTGAACTGATAATGCTTTTGAGAGGAGCCTAATTCTGATAATGGACAGGCCCTAACTACCAAAAACACCAAGAATGCCTGGTGGACAGGGGCGAGAATAGAGAGCACTTGGGAGTACCACTGAACACATGGAGACTACATGTCCAGCTCCATGAGTAACTAGCAATATAAAATTGGCAAGACATTCAAACTGTAGTGCCATGATTCCCTCATTTTACAAAGTAACAGCTATTCTGCTTACATTATAAAACTTTTATGCACATAATTAGAGACAAAAAAGCTTTTTAAAACCATGAACTTCCAGGGCTGAAGGCATAGCTCATGTGCAAGATTCTGAGTCTGATTCCCAGTGTGTGGGCAGGAGGAGAAATGACACTATGAACTTCTCAATGTTTCACTCTCTTCCCTTATGAAACAATTATTTTTCTTAACCATAATTCCACAAATACTCTAAATGGTATTTTTGCTATTCTCCCAGTTCTTCAGGCCCAAACATCTTCAACAGTCCCCTGCTGGTTTGTACTGTTCCTGTTTCTCTCCCAATTCATCTCAGTACAGCTAGGATCACCCCTGGCTGTAAGCCTTTGATAGCTCTATAAAGTCTATAAAAGGAGGTACCTTTCACCCATCCCCCACAACAGAATGCATTCAAGGCCTCCATGGTAGTTCCTCTTACTCCTTTCCTACCCATTTCTTTTTACTGCTCTTCAAGTACTAGATCTGTTAGACAGAACAGACTATAAATGATTCCACAAATAACTTCCTAATAGTTTTCTACTATCTCACCTTAGCTAATGCTTTTCTCCACAACTGAATATTTCTAATTCGTCTATTTAAACCTTCCAAATCCTTCAAAATCCATACCTTCCTTGTTCATGAAGTCTTCCCTGACCTAAAAGCCTCTTCACAAGCAGACTCATTTTCTATTTTTCCCAAATTCAACATTAAACTTTCAGCGCTTCAACATTAAAATGCATTTCTAATGCCATATTATCATATTTTACCATCCCCCCTTCTAAATTATTCAAACCTTAAGGGCAAGGTTATCCCAGGTATCATTTTCCTATGGTCTACTCCTATCTATGACACGACTTTGAAACTAACAGTTTGTAGCCATAAGATTTCATAAACTCCTAGGACATGTGGTCTGGACAGAATTTCAACCAACAAGACTAGTGTTGCACTCTGACCACCACCTTAACATGTAAGAAGATAAAGGTTATCCTGCACAGCATCATCTAAAAGACCTCTGAGGAAGTTTACACTTTTGCTTATTTATAACCTGAGAGAAAACCTAGCCAATACATGTAAGTTCTCTAGCAAGCAGACCAGATCTCATTCTTAGAACTCACGGTGCCTAGAACTATTACCTTGCAGTCACAGCAGGTGCCCAATCATAAAATTTAACATTTTAACTGTCCCTAGGCACACAATTCAGCTGCATTGAGCACATTCCTACCTTTGTACAAACAACACCACTCTCCATCTCCACAACTTTTACATCATTCCAAACTGAAACTATACCCACTGAACAATAACTCCTCTTTTCCCCACCCCTGGGCACCTGGTAACTATTAATCTACTCTCTGTCTCCATGAATATGGTCATTCTAGATACCTCATATAAGTAGAATCATAGACTGAAAGACTAGCCTCCAATGACAGCTGGCACTCATAGTTACTCTACGAGGCTACAGGGGACACTAAACTTTCAGGTTGCTAATGGCAACCCCTGCAAGAAACTAAAATAATATAATATCTGAAATTCTGTCCTCACATTAACTTATTCTGCTGTGGAAACTTTCAATGGAATTTTTAATTTCTTGGCTATCTGCTTGGATGTGTTTTATGTTTTCCAAATTCTTTCCCATGCTGGGTATTCATGGTTTCTATCCTTTTCCTCAGCGCCTCTATTTTTTTGTCTGTGTCTGCTCTAGAGTTATTAATCATGTCTTTCTTTATGGTCACCATCTGTTTTCATCTGAGAAATTTTCAGCAGCTGTTCCTCAGACAAAGGTCTATTATCTAGAATATACAAAGAACTTAAAAAAATTAGACCCTCCAAATTTAAAGACCCAATCCAAAACTGGGTACCTGAAATGAACAGACATTTCTCAGATGAAGAAGTAGAAACAGCAAATATAAACATACGAAAAAATGTTCAACATCACTGGTCATTTGAGAGATGCAAATGAAAACAACACTGAGATTTCACCTTACTCCAAAAAGAATGGCTGTTATCAAGAAATCAACAAATAACAAATGCCGGTGGGGCTGTGGGGAAGAAAGAACCTTTCTCCACTGTAGTTGAGAGTATAGACTGGTGCAACCACTGTGGAAATCAGTGTGGAGATTCCTCAAAAAACTAGAATTAGAAGTCCCATCTGACATGCTATTTCCCTGCTGGGTATCTTCTCAAAAGAATTAAAAACATTATACCACAGTGATATACGCATACCCATGTTTATAGCGGCACAGTTTGTAATAACTAAATCTTAGAAACAACCCAAATGCCTGTCAACTGGTGACTGGATAAAGAAGATTTGGGTTTTTTATAAAATGGCGTACTACTCAGCCATAAAGAATGATAAACTAGAGACATTTATAGCTAAATGGATGCATATTGAAGCCATACTCTTAAGTAAAATAAATAGGACATGCATGAGTAAATACCAAATTGTCTCTCTGGTGTGAGAAAGTGAAAGTATAAATGAGGATCAAAATGTATAACAGAGGGCCGGGGATTTAGCTCAGTGGTTTCGCTGCCTGCTGCACAAGCACAAGGACCCGAGTTCAATCCCCAGTACCCCCCCAAAAAAAAAAAAGTATAATAGATGATGTGAAATAGGAAGCAAAGATTCAAAGGGGAAGGGGAAATGGGGCGGGGGGGGGTGGGGAATATGAGAAAAGAAGGAAAGAACAGAAACAATGCTTTTGTAAATAGGGAGGGGGTGGAGGAGTGAGAGGGAAGGGGAATGGGAATAAACAACTAAGATATATCATGTGCAGGTACAAATTCCCAAGGATGAATGTGGTCATAATGTACACCTAAAATATAGCAATAAAGTTAATTTTTTAAAACTAATAATAATTCATGTCTTACCAGTATAGTCATCAAAGTTGACTCTTCCTCTCATTGTGTTCACAACAGACTCTGGCTGCTCAAAAATTTCCTTCTGCATAAATGAACTGAAGTTGCCTACAGTAATAGAAATTAGATAATTAAAACAAAAATTAATAAACCCAAGATAAGAAATTTGTACATAACTAAAAGTCTATCTCCTTTAGCCTGATAAATGAAACAAAATGCCATGCAACAGACAATAATATTCATATACTGTATAACTGTCTAAAGAACTGGATGAAAATATTTTGCTCTATGTGAAGAAAAATAAGCAAGCATAGAGGAAAACTCACTATCATTTACTTCACACCTAAAATGTACAATTATAACAAACCAGGAGAATAACAAGCTTAATTTTTGGAGTTAGGCCTAGGCTTAAATCATGGTTCTATCTTTTATTATCTCAACTAGGGAAATTTCTTATCTTGTAAAATAACAACAGCAGTAACTTCATAGCAGGGTCTATAATGTGGGTTAATATTAGCAAGGAACTTGACATATACCTGTTATGCAATAAATGTTAGTTTTTATTTCCACCACAACCCGATCAGAAAAGAGAAAAATCAAAATCAAAATAATCATAATGGTTAATGGCAGCAAACATTATGGCACCAAATATGTATGCCAGACACTGTTTTAATGACTGTACATAATTAACCCTCTTAATCATCATACACCCTTAATGAAGTAGGTTCTATTGTCCCCATCTCACAAATGAGCAAACTGAAGCACAGGGAGACTATAAGAATAAGTAACAGAACATAAACTATATATATACACTTTAAGAGTATCTCTAAAATATTAGGTACCATTAAAATAATCTTTTTTTTATAATGTTAAAAATACCAAATCATGAACTACTTTGAAGAACTACTGTTAAGACCAGCAAATAATTTTTCTGAAAAATCACTCCTTTTTCTGGGGTTGCCCCTTCACTAATCATATGGAAGATTCCACTCAACATCATTATTAGATTCACCAGTAGACAGGAAATAGAATGCCTCCTTTCTTTAAGGACATCAAGCTATAACATGACAAAAACTTTCACCCTTCATGATCTGCTGGAGTTCCATCTGGAGGGTTTGTACAGCTCTTCCAGGATGATCTCGTGCAGTTCGTTTAATTCGATGGATAGAAAGACGGCCATCTACCACCGCCGCAACATCATCATCTTCCAGAAAGATGACTCGGTTGGTGTGTTCTATGACAGCACTATAAAATGTTCAAGGAGATATTACTGTCAATAACCAAGGGTCAGTATTACAAATGAAACTATCTTTAGGACACAAGGACCAAATTTAAATACAAATGCTATAATCTTGCAGTACAGTACCTCTGTTAACTTTCTGACAATCAATGCCATCACCTACAGGGCAGTGAAGGAGGAGGTTATTGTGAACAAAAAATAACAGGATCTCTATACAACGACTTAACCAGATTAGATTAGATTAGATCAAAAGGCTTGGACAGTTTCTCCTTTTCTATCCATCACTAAATCCAACAATTTTAACCCCTAAACACTTCTCAAAGCTCCCTGCTATGTACACTACCACAAACTAGCACAAACTGCTGTCGGTGCTGTGGCTGACTACTGTAGTATGCTCCTAGCTAATCTCTCCAAGTTCTCTTTTATCTCCATCCATCCATTCAGTTTTCTGCCAAAATTGGTATCAAAAGGTAACTCTACAATCAAGCTTTCTCCCTTACCCAAGAGACTATTGAAGGCTTCTATTTGGTTCTTAAGGAAAGCACCTAAATACATTGTCATGATCCCTATACCTCCTTCCTCAGCCTCATCTCCCACCAAACTTCCTCTCACTCTCTACTGCAGCCACATGCACATCTCTCTTGAACTCTCACAGGATAAGCCATCAGCAGAAAATGTATGTTCCTCCCTCTACTTCTTCACCTAATTAACTCCTAATTTCTCCTTAGTTCTCAGTTCTACCTTCATGCTCTTAAAGAAATCTACCCACAAGGGGATAAATCACCCTGTTCTAAGCATTTTGTAGTTCTTGTTACAGTGGAAATTTTGTATTTTTGTGATTATTGTTTAAAACTTGTCCCTTCCATTATGGAAGTGCTTCATAGGGGCAAGTAATATTTTTATTTCTTATTCACTATGATCTCCTGAGATAGCATATGGCTTTGAGCAGTGTTCAATATGAATGCAAGAATGAATAAAAAAGACTGATCACATCTGTAATCTCCAGTTTAAACTGTAACTGTCAACTCTGTAACAAAGCTACTTAATGAGAGCCGTGACACATCTACAAAATTAGAAAACAATGAAGTTTGTTTTCCCCCTGAGGTAATATATTCCCTTAAGTCCTGAATGGTATCATTTTCTAATTTTTATTATCTCCTTTTATTTTCAGCCATAGTGAGTGATTCAAATACCTTCTGGCAATTTGAACTGCTATAGTTCATATTCTCTCTTAGACTAGTACTATTCCTTTACTGCAGAGATCATGCTATAAGTTTCTTCTAAATGTAAAAGATAAGTGTCCATGTTAGAATAAAAGTAAAATGGCTCAGCTAGTATACTATAATTGGTGTGATATCAACTAAGCTATTCTATTCTCTAATCTACCTCACTGTTAAGAGTGTTTACCTAGCGTGCACAATGCCCTGGGTTCAAACCCTGCACTGCAAATAATAATAATAATAAATTAAAATTTCTCCTCTCTACAAAATCTGGGTAACCTAAAAGGCCCGGGGGGGGGGTGGAGAATATACCAGTGCACTAAAGTAATTATACCGGAACAAGTCTCAAGGACTATTTGTATTCTTGGTAAACCAAACTACATGCTTCAAAGTGGTGAAAAAAGTGTACTTGTAGTCCCATCTCCAAAAGGTTACCTATACTTATTAAGAAAGTTTTAAAGCTGGGAATATAGGTCAGTGGCTTGCCTAGCATGCACAAAGCCTTGGGTTTGATTCCTTGTAACATAAAAGAAGAGAAAGTTATTTAATAAAGCGTGACTAGATTTATAAAAAATGACTTCTTCATTTACTGATTGTAGCATAAGAAATTTTACTAAAAATTCTCTTTGAATCAATTAAGGATGCTCACCTTGCATCAGAAGCAAAGTAATATTCTACTGCTTTTTCTTCAACAGGGAAAAGGCAAGTCGTGCTGTCTACACGAGACAGATTACAGCTTCCTTTCTTGTCTTTGCCTAGCACATATAGTTAATATGAATTTGTAAATATGAGGAAAATCATGATTAATTTAAAAACATACATAAATTTTTACAAAATCAACCAAAAAACCCATAGCAACACAAAATAATTTCAGCAATTTTAAAATGCCAGGTAGATCAACTTTTTCCATGCATTAAGCCAATAAGAACAGACAAAAAGTGTAGAGAGAAATAGCAACCATAAAATAATGCGTGGCAGATAACAGTGCTACACTGTAAATTTTTTAAAGTAATATTTCTTTTCCAGGCAAAATCCAATAATTCATTAATATCATGACCTTTTTTCATTAAAAATATATACAATCTTAATTTAATTTCATACCAAACTTGATGGACTTAATACATACACGTTTGTGCTCCTATACTTTTCAAAAATTTCCATTAAAAATATCAAAACTATGCAATGAAAAGAATGACTACTGGCAAATTAATTTTTGTTATAACAAAACTTCTCTAGTTTTAATAGCAAGTCAGCATAACAAACCATGTAGTCTAAACTAATTTTGATTTTAAAACAAAGCAGAGATACATTATCACTCTCCAGCCATGTGGTATCTACTGTTAGATGCAGGAAAGAATCTCTCCTGTCTTAAAATTGTTTTCTTACACTTCTTGTAAGTTAGGATAAACTATGGTACTTTTATAATGGCAGAACATTTTTAATTCTAGCACTTCAGAATTTTGACATTTTTAATTTTTAATTGTCAAGTTAGTGAGAATAGTGTTTTCTTTTTTGTTCATTCACAACTAAAGTGAAAATGAAGAACTGTGAAGTGTGAATTAGCCTAATCTAGAAAAAAATATATGCGCTAAAGACTATACAAATGTCCTACAAAAAACTCACTTCTCCAAGGCCAGAACACAGGTGACCTTAAAACCTATGGACACAACAACCACAGAATACCATAAATATTCTTGTAAAAATGCATACCATACCTATCCTCTAAAATGCATGTACAAAGACTTGGTAATAATTATTCTTAGAAATGTACAAAGTCCTCCATGCCTGAGTAGTTGGTGTGTTTTAAAAGATATCAAACTTTTTTTTTTTTGGTACTGGGGATCGAACTCAGGTCCCTTGCGCTTGCGCAGCAGGCGGCGAAACCACTGAGCTAAATCCCCCACCAAAGATATCAAACTTTTGGGCCAGGGATTTAGCTCAGTGGTTCTGCCGCCTGCCTCACAAGGACCTGAGTTCAATCCCCGGTACCAAAACACAAACAAACAAAGATATCAAACTTTTAAAACTAACTATAAAATGATATCCTAAAAATGGTAATACTATAGAAATGTAACAGTAGTGTTTGTCAGGTGAAGAATGGGACAAGGGTTGATTACAAAGTTACAACTCAAGGGAACTTCTGGGGGAAGAGAATTTTCTGTATACTGATTGTAGCAGTAGTTAAACAACTGTTTGCCTTTGACAAAACTCTAGAACTGTCCATCAAAAATTGCATTTTACTCTATGCAGAAAAATAAAGTGAAAGGGACTAGGGGTATAACTCAGTGATACAGTCTTACCTAGCATGTGCAAAGCCCTGCTTCAAGCCCCAGTACTCCCCTTCACTCACTCCCCCAAAATGAATTAAAAAACAAGGAGAAGGCACCAGACACAGCAGCATTTGCCTGTAATCACAGCACTAATGAGACTGAGCAAGAGGACAAATCTCAAACAAAAAAAAAGTAGAAAGACTGCCTAACACCTACCTTTCAAAATAAATAATTAGCTTTTCTCATAAAATGTCCTAACAGTGTTGAATTTCACTCCAAACACTGATATCATTCTTCAAACAATAGAAGTATATCTATTAAAATATTTAAATGAACAAGGTATCACTACCTGTTTAAATAACATCTATACAACTCTTAATATATCCAGAATGTTTTCCCATATACTGATTATCTCATGAAGTGAATACAATTATCATCCCTGTCCTACAGACAGAAAAGTGGCTTTTTTTGGTCACACCCGGAGGAAACAACAAAGGCCTAAACACCAGTCCAGAGTTCTCTCTTTACATAGCCCCTTCAATAAGAGGCTATTCATTTAACTAAATTTCACTGGACCACACATTTCCTACTAGGAGCTACAGAAATAAAGCTTATCAAACACAATTTGTCATGATAAAATTTTTCTTCTAGCATCTTAAGACCTTAACTATGATTTTTCTATTATTTCTAAAAGTAGCCCAAGACAACCTGCAAGGTAACACATATAGATAATATATACACAAGCTGAGTTATTAACAGAAATCTGAAACTCTAGATCCACATTCTATTTTCTCACTGGCAGTTTTTTTCTGGAAAGACTAGTGGCTAGAGAGAGGAGTGACAGAGACAGAAAATAAGATCTAACTAATATCTTAGGACTAAAGGTTATTTAAGAAAATAATTTTCTGCTCTCAATAAAAAAATAAAAGGAGTAGCCATTAAAAATAGAGTACTTTGTTAAGTGTTTTTCAAGAAACCAAGAATTAAACATTAATAATACAGGTTTCAAAATACAGGTTTCAATTTCCTGAGTCTACCACTCCCTACCTTTCACATGGAAAGCTTTTAACAATCAGTAAACAGAAAGAGCACACTGTTGTTGTTTTACTTTTCTGTGTAAATATATCACTAAATGGTCTAGAATTTGTATAGTTGAAAGTCTTATTCTAAAAATTAACTTCAAACATAAACAAAGAAAGAGTAACTCTAAATTCAAATAAAGCCAATCAAAATATTAAATGTAAACATAAAATTTCATGCATAAAATGAAGAGCATTTAAATGTATTTCAGTTAAAAGTAAGGCTAAGTTACTAAAATAACTACCACTTTGTTCAAACTAGCATAGGGTGCTCCTTTCCTAATTTAAGCATGTATCTACATACTTTCAAAACATAGGAAAAAATACAACTTCGACTATGTCCTCATACTTCACAGATTAAAAAAAAATTTAAAAGCAGTTTTCTAAATGCCAAAAGCAAACAAAATATATTCTGCAAATTAGAAAAAAAAAGTCAAAATATGTTTCCCCATAAAATAAGCACTTTTTTAGAGGCCCAGCACATTCATTCAACTCCAAGAACAAAGAATTAGTAAAGAATGAACAAAAGAGGGTAAGATTCCTTCCCATTCATGCAGAGTGCATTTCCCACCTCTTTCTCCCTGTGATCCCCACCGTGTGAATTTTGATCCAATCTGAGTCCTAGCTAAGGATACACAACAGAAAAACAATTCTACTAGTCAGAGAACTCACAAAAACAAACCTTTTTCATGTCTAGACAGAACTATATATACAGTTATATACATATGGATCAAGCCAAAGGGACATTTATTTTAATTTAAGGAAAGAATTCTTTATATTTACTGCACTGTTTCCATGTTTTCCCCACAGCATGAAGCAAAAGCAGGTTTACCTGTTCGATAGAGTATTGGAATGTGATCAGTAGAAAGCTTATGTTCACTCCGAACACCAATCAATAGGGGGCTACCTCGCCTGTAATTGAAAATGGGTTAGAATGAAAACTTTTTTCATACATAATGTGCTAACAATATAAAACTAGAATTTAGCCAATGCTCTTCAAATAATGTATTAATTCTCCCTCTAAACTCAGCTTTAGATATATCAAAACAACTAGGTCAGCAAACTAAGATCCATAGCCCTCAGTGCCTATTTTTATAATTAAATTTTTTGTTTTAATTATAATTATTTATTTTAAAGGACAAATTGATATATTAAAGAAAGTTTTATTGGAATACAGCCATACCCAATCTATTACAAACATCCCATGATTACTTTCACACCAGAACAACAATGCTGAGTAGCTACTAAAGAGGCTGTATGGCCCAGAAAGCCTAAAGTATTTACTATCATTCCAGAATAAGTTTGCCAACTCCTGTTGCATAATGCTATATTTAAAATTTTTCTCCCTTTAAATGATAAATAAAAGTTTCCCTTCAATTGTACCCAGGATGCCAATATATGACTCTTTAGCTCTTCTTTGTAGTCATCCTACCTTCAAATTAAAGACTTCTCTTTCTTATCAAATCTTAAGGCTCCTCACTATTCTAGTCTTCATGACTACATCTAAATACACTAGCAAAAGCAATAATGGTACAATTATCTAAGAATCTATCAGGAATATATGTTTCAAAAAATATGGAGAAAGTTAATGTTTTAGGACTATAATTAGAGAATACTCAATACCCAAATTCACAAAGTAATGATAGTGTCACCCCAAACACAAAAGGCAAATCATAAATGCCAAATGTATTTGCTTTTTTAAGACATTCTGAAATGAAAGAGTGGTACAATACATAAGAAGGGTTATATAAAAATATATTCACGTGAATATCTAAGTGCAGAGCCTTTATAGTAAAGGGTCATCATTTACAGGCTACCAAGAATAACCATGTAGGGCCAGGATTTAGCTCAGTGGTTCCGACACCTGCCTCGCAAGCACAAAGTCCCAAGTTTGATCCCTGGTACCCACGCCCCAAAAAAGAACCATGTAACTCAAATGTTTCAAAATATATAATTTATTAGTCATATTAGATTTATAATGTACCTTGTGCCAACTGCTTGCCCAGGAAAATGAACACTTTTAAATACAAGTGCAAAAGCACCTTCCTATGGAGGGGAAAAAATATATTAGCAAATTTTGTTATAATCAAGTATCGAATGTGAAGTGCTTAAGATATACTGGCTTCAGTAGAGAAATTTGTGTTCACACAGGGCTCTATTGCAGTAGTTTATGAATAAGTCTACATTTTAGGTAGATGCTTACTCCTGAGCTTTGGTATATATAAGACCAACTTTTTAAATCAGGCCTATTTTCAAAATATGCTTAAGAGATAACAGCTCCAAAAACAGACCATTTGGGGCTGGGGATTTAGCTCAGTGGTGCTGCCACCTGCCTCACAACCGCAAGGTCCCGAGTTCGATCCCCAGTGTCAAAAAAACCCAAACAAACAAAAAAAAACTCAGACCATTCGTATACGCTATCAACATTTCTCAACAGATGCAGCATATCTCTCATACTATGAATTAGTAAAAGGAGGCCAGAAATAGAAAAGACTCCGAGCTCAACATCCAAAACCCCCTTCTCTGTTCTAGTAATTGTACACCACTGTTAACTTCCATTCATTTTTACCTTGAGATGGGAACATATACACTCACAATTATTAATATGCACACCACACCACATCATCAAACCAACCTCCTCAGGCACAGGACCTAATAAAGAATAGATAAAGGAAAAAAATGAGGTAGGAGAGTGAAGAACCACTATAGAACACAAAGTGAACTATACAGTGACTAAAAAGGGAAAACCTGTAAGAAACAAGAAAGGATGGGAAGGCACACTACTCTGCCTTGAGTAAAGGGAGGAATGGGTGTCCATACAGTATTCTCCATCTTCCTAACTCCTTTTGCTACAGACATCATAAGGTTAGGATGGCGGTGGGATGGAAAGACTGGGGTCTTAGAAGGGAAGAAAAGGGCCTATAAATGGGACAGCTACAGTTACAAGTTTGGGAGGTGGTTAGGCATCACTATAGACTCAAGAGTTTTGTGGATGTGTTTAGTCTTTAAATAGGGCAACTGAGATGGAATCAAAGGAATCCTGCTTTCTCTTGGGCCACTGAAGTACGGGACCAAGGAAAAGGTCCCAAAAGAAATAATAAAGGATTGAGTATGCAGGCTCAGACATGTCCAAACATAATTCCAAAATAAAGATTGCACACTGAAGGTACCCTTTTGCTAAGTTACTAGATGGAAGCAAGAGAGATTAATTCTCCATTGTAGGTATTGTGTACAAGGGAAGGAGGTAGCATTGCAGAGGCCAAACTCCTGGGATAGGTTCCCTATGTTATTATCTCTCACACTTGGAAGAGAAAATCCAGCATGAGAGCTAATTGCAGGTTGGGCTACAGGGAAACAACAAACTGCAACCAGAGAAAGGGACAGCCAGCAAAACACACAAAAAAAGCAATCCCTCCCCACAACACCTTCCTAAACACTGTCCCTGCAGCATCCTAGCCACTATCCACTGCTCACTGCTCAATGCTGACAAGGAAAGTCCCTCATCTTAGGCAGAGACAGGCTGAGCACTGTGAACTATGGGTGACATCAAGCTCCCTGGAAGGGAATTGTGGATTCCATCCTTGGAGACACAGAGGATTAGAAGAGATTCAACTGAGCCAGATCAGAGTGCATGATTTCCTATTGCTTTCCCAAACACAAGAAAGATCTGATTCAGAGTGAAATTCTGCCCATCACCACTATCTTGCATGAGCCAGGGGGACTGAGCCAAGTTCCATGGGTTGGAAAGTGGAGCACTTATCTGAGGGAGCAGGGGCAGTTAAAGGTCTGAGGGTGAAGGGACAGAAAAAGTCACCCAAGGGCAGAGGGCTTCTGGTGATACAATAAGCAGAAGGCCCCTGAAGGAAGAATTCAGAGAAGACTGGGAGATGTGCCCTGAAGCAAGAAGAGCAAGAGTAGAAGATGATGGAGAACCAAGTGTTGGAAAAAGTTCACCATATCCACTTCTTCCCAAATTAATTGAGGTGGTCAGGTCTTGGGACAGAGAGAAAGGTCTGCAAATGGCCATGCCCAAAGCATGGCTTTCAGCCACGAGATAAGTCCAAAGAGACTGACAGCCCTCATCCCTCCCAGCAGCCATTTAAATAGTCCACAGGACAGGAAACCAGCTTGCTGGTTGCAACTGGACTAGGACTACAATGTGAAGAAAACTGTGTGGACATTCTGGCTCTATGAAATAGGCAGCCATGTGGAGATTTCTGTTGGATTACTTGTTTTTCTGTTCTGGGTTCTCTCTGGGTCAGTCTGTCTGTCTCTCTTTCTTTCCTCTCTTATCAATATTTTATTTTACTTTTTGTCTTCTAAACTTTTTTTCCTTTATTCTGCTGTCTTTCTCATCTTTTCTTTCTTCCTTTCCTCCCTATTCTTTTGTCTTTGTTCTTCCACCATTTTCCCTAACCCCTTGTCTTATCTCTCTTATCCACCTTTCATGCAACATATATACAGCAGGTGTCTGTATATGTTCAAAAGACAGTAAGAATAGACCTGAGCTTTAACGTGGCTGGTACCATTCATGGCATTGTCAGGGTAATCCTTAATAGAACTGTGTTTAGAGGATCCCAACAAAATTAACTACAAATACATTAACAGATTCAGATAATGTCACAGCTTCCTTCAATCCCTAATTACACTTCCTCTTGCTGAATCCCTCCTCCCAGCTCCACAAATATTCTCTCAAACCGCCAAAACTAACCCTTTACTCAAACTATAAAAATACTTCCAGGGCCGGGGATTTAGCTCAGTGGTTTCGCTGCCTGCTGCGCAAGCACAAGGACCCAAGTTTGATCCCTGGTACCAAAAAATAAAATAAAATAAAATAAAAATACTTCCAACAGAGGCCAACCTCCTAGCATTTTGTACCCAATGACCTTTATCTTCCTCTCCTCTTAGTGACAAACTTCTTCCTTCTCCTCTTTTTCCTTTCCTCCTCCCTCCACATCCCAGACTAACCACTAATACAGAACAGTTTAGTCTGTAAGAGACACTGACAAAAGGTGAAATTGTCAAAACAAGAGTTAATGTTCATGATCAATGTATGGTTGGATCTGTGGATGCTTTTACAACCAGTAAGAATTCTCTCCTTACACACAATGATTGGGTTCAACCCAATTAAACGGAATAGGCTGAAGTGGTAGACAATACCTCTTGATAAATAAAACCAAGATCACAGCACTGGAAAACAGAATCTAACTAAAGAGATACTCCCACCAACAACAAAGTCTCTTCACTCTAATTGATCTTAAACCTCAGGACACACATGAACACACACACCCTTACACACACAAAGGAACGTGAAAAAAAACGTGCCAAGAAAATGCCTCTGAAGACTCCCAACTCTCCCAAAGCAGATCCAAGGGGCAACAGAGAAGAAATCAAACACCAAATACCAGAGTTGTACAAAATGATCCCAGAGGAAGAACAGAAACTAATATGAACACAAAGATGACATAATAAGACAGTGAAATTAATAAACTGACCAATGTGGTTAGAGAAGAGTCAAATAAAAAATTAAAAGAGCTAACAAAGACCATTCAAAACATGAATGACAAATTTACCAAACAAATAAGGAGTCTATAAAAAGGCACCAAACATCCCAAGATAAATAATTCTACTGATTCCATGCTCCTAAGGGCGGAGAAGGTGAGCCAGTCCCAGCACCCGGAGGGAGGCTCCCCCGCCGCCATTCCACACTCCTAGGGCAGAGAAGGTGACCCACGCAGGCACCAGAAGCACACGCCCCCCACCCCGTAGAAATGAGAAAACACATAAACAAGCCTCAAAAACAGACTTCCAGATCACCTACAGCAACTCTAAAGGGAAACGAGATGGAACACTCTGATACTCAACCACCTCGACTCTCTGAACTGACAACAAAAGAGGATCTGGGTAAAATGAAATCAGAAATAATTACTCAGATAACAGCAAAGATTGTGCTCATGGTGCAAGGCATGATTAATAAATCTAGAGAGGACACAGATAAAAAAATACAGGAGCTGAGGAACATCATGGAATCCCAACATAGGAAACAAATGGAATCCAAAAAACAGATGCAAATAGATTTCCAGGAGATTAAAAACTCCATCGAAAGTCTCCACACCAGAATGAACCAATGTGAGGACAGAATTTCAGATATAGAAGAGAAGATTGCAATTAGTGACCAGGAAAAGAAAAATTGCTTTAAAATTGTAAGGGAACATGAGAAATCAACCCAGCAGCTGCTAGATGATGCAAAGAAGAATAACATAAGACTGATTGGAGTCAAGGAAGAAAGAGGAGACAGTGCAGATGACATAAAAAAAACTCTTCACAGAAGTGATGGCAGAAAACTTCTCAAGGAGGGGAAAAGAACTTGACATACAGATAAATGAGGCATATAGGACTCCAGCTAGCCTTGATCAAAAAAAATCTACACA